TAATTTATGTGCATGTCTACACTTGTCCAAGTTGATTGGTCTCAAAATGTACGATAGGGAGATACGAAAGTTGTCAATCCTTCCTGCCCATAATATATGCTATGAATGTTGTTATTGTTCCTTATTGCTTGCAAGCTTATAACGTTACTTTCTCAAATTGAGTTTAAGATGTTTTATTTAACTTTCTTGACCTCGCTTTTTTAAATTTGTTTTTTAAGAGTGGGGTTAGAGACTTGAGCATAGGTCATCTATATCAATGACAACTTAAGTTATAGTTGCCTTACTTACTCGAGGACAAGAGTAAATGCCGTAACGATCGCGTTGTGTCCGTAAAGAACGTGATTGTGATGGTTGGTATGAGAGTCAATTTTTCTCCTAGTATTCAAATTAACAAACATGTGCGCTATGAAACAGAGCAAGTCCCAGGTTGATGGTTGGTTGAGATTGAAGAACTGGCGTTCTATTTACGAGAAGTCTTTGACGATCTTCGACTTATCTTGTATGAGTGAGAATATCACAAAACATGTGCGCTTGATAAGATTGATAGTTAGCTGGCTACCTAGATGAGATACCCATCCAAGAATTGATGCCCATGATTGAGACCGTGGGTCAAATAAAGTCATATGAACCGGTGGCATGAGTGTGAGGGTAGCTCGACGGACTCTATTGCCCACATGGAGGAATACACTATAGAGCCTCTTCTGAGGTCCCCTTCACCCTTTGCTCGACACTTAAGCCAATTTGACCACTTTGACTACACTTTCAAATGGCTCACAACTTCTTTATACAACACTTAGGATTCTATTGATATTGTCCACTTTTAGCATAAACTCTCCTGACTTTGCTTTTTGTTTCCCTAGCAAGTCTCACACCAATGAAGATGGTATTTCTTACCTCTAAATCCATGATCATCCCTTTAATTAACCAATGTGGGACTACTCCTCCCAATAATCTTTAACATCCTCGTTCTGCTTTATATGTAAGAGGGACCTATCGAGTGTCGGAATGCTCACAAAGAGCCACTCTTTATGCCTTCCACGTTAAACTTGGTGAATTCATTAGCCGAATATGAGATGACTTTAGTTGAAACATCGCCAATTGAAAGCATTGAGAACTCTTACATTGAAGCCCCCTTACTTCAAAACATAGTGGAAGAGATGGAAGAGTCAGTCGAACAAGGTCTTATGTATGAGACATGAATTAACCATGTATCAGCTAAGAGAACTATGACCATCATACACAATTTCATGACAAAGACCGAAGCAATATACTATAGCATTAAGATATACGAAAGATAAAAGTCATCAATTTAACAACCCTACCTATAGTACATATACTACCCAATTGAAAAAAAAATATACATATGCAAGATAGTGAAAAATGTTGTACATGTTGGAAAAAAAAAAAAAAATTTCCATCTCATAAATTTACGCCTACTTCAATTTAGAAAGTTCTCACCAAAAAAATTTGTCTCACTCCACCAAAAATTAATTAAATAAATATCAAAACCCATTTAAAAAAAATTACAAAAAACAAAAAAGAAGAAGAATAAGAATGACTTTTTTTTATTTTTATTTATTTATTTATTTATTTATTTATTTATTATTATCACTAACAGGTTAATATAAACATGAGATCTCAACCATGTTAATATAAACATGAGATCTCAACCACGTTAATTAAAACATGAGCCACATGTAAAAATTCACATCAAAATCTCGACTTTTGAAGTTATTGTCTGGAGCTCTATTCGACCCTCTTCGAGCTTGTCTTTGACACTCGTGTCATCTCTCTCTCGAACTTAGGGTATGTCTTAGCTTCAATGCACATTCTTGGTGTATTGGATGATGCCTTAGCTCCACTGCACATTCTTGGTGTATTGGATGATGCACCGTCCTCTCGCATCATGACACTTCTCAATCTTGGGACTCATGTGGTCGGATAGATGTGACTTGAGGGTCGCCCCTTGTCTGTCTTGTGTGGAGGTCACAATCTATAACCTTGGGACTCATGTGGTCGGATAGATGTCACTTGAGAGTCGCCCCTTGTCTGTCTTGTGTGGAGGTTACAATCTACAATCTACTTCCTGTCACTGATGTTGTGACATGCTGCTTCCCGCAATAAATGAGAGTTTCTTCCTTCTGTTGGGATTGAAAAGCTTATGATTAGAGGGAGGGTCGTTGGGACAGGAAACGTTCGACCTTCTGCTAGCCTTTTCTTTCTTTCTTTTCTTTTTTTAATGAAATTTGGTCGGTTCATGACCTAGTTTTTGTGCCAATAAACTTGAAACCAACCCATGACCTAGTTTTTGTGCCAATAAACTTGAAACCAACCCAAACAGGGACTCGAATCCAAAAAGATAGAAACAAAAAAGTTATGAATAATGAAAATTTAAGAAGAAAAGAAAATGAAATCTGGAAAGCTTTTGAACAAATTTGGGCAATTCTCCCTCCACGCTCCTGAGAAGAAAAGAACGTGTACTTCATATTAGAAAGTTCTCACAAAATAATTTATCTCACTTCACTAAAAATTAAATAACTCTCTATATTTAATTTCTTAAATAAGTATCAAAACCAATTTAAAAAAAAAAAAAAAAACAATTTTTTTTTTTTTTTTTTTTTTGTATCACTAACACTAATACATGAGATCTCAACCACGTTAATTAAAACAGGCCTCGACTTTTGAATTTATTGTATGGAGCCCTACTCACCTTTATCGAGCTTGTATGGAGCCCTACTCACCTTTATCGAGCTTGTCTTTGACACTCTCATCTCTCACTCGAACTTAGTGTATGACTTAACTTCAATGCACATTCTCGGTGTATTGGATGATGCCTTGTATGCCTTAGCTTCAATGCACATTCTTGGTGTATTGGATGATGCCTTAGCTTCAGTGAACATTCTTGGTGTATTGGATGATGCACTGTCCTCCTCTCGCATCATGACACTTCTCAATCTTGGGACTCATGTGGTCGGATAGATGTCACTTGAGGGTCGCCCCTTGTTTATCTTGCGTGGAGGTCACAATCTATAATCTGTGGACTCATGGTGTCGGATAGATATCACTTGAGGGTCACCCCTTGTCTGTCTTGTGTGGAGGTCACAATCTACTTCATGTCAGTGATGCTGTGACATGCTCCTTCCTGCAATAAATGTACTGCATGTCAGTGATGCTTTGACATGCTCCTTCCTGCAATAAATGAGGGTTTTCTTTCTTCCGTTGGGCTTGAAAAGCTTATGATTAGAGGGAGGGTCGTTGGGAAAGGAAATGTTCGGCCTTCCGCTAGCCTTTTTTTTTTTTTAATGAAATTTGGTCGGTTCATGACCTAGTTTTTGTGCCTATAAACTTGAAACGAGACTTAGTTTTTGTGCCTATAAACTTGAAAC